GCATCTTTTTTTGTTTTTATTTAACCATGGAGCCTATAGGCAAAACAAAAATAACAATAAACAATAATTTGTTGTTGGCTCCAAACGATTAAAGAAATTAGTTACTTTTTACTCTTAAAAACAGTCAAAGTTGGTGACTTATCTTAAATTAGTCAAACTTTTACTATTTAAGTAGTAAAAAATAACTAAACTGCGCACCACTCAATGTGTCGTGACCAAAAAATTCGTCCTTTTTCAAAACGACATAACTTTTTTATTTCTTAAACGATTTTATTTTGGTCTGTGATATCTGCTAGCCCATCCTCTGGCAATTCATGCTATAGATATGAAGCTCACGATTCTTCAAGTAAATTTCGTACAGGGTGATATGTAAAACGGTGAAAAATTTCAATAACTTCATCCAAGCCCCGTTTGAAAAAAGATTTTTTTTTCTCGTTTTTACTTTGAAAGTATTATGTCTTACCTTGAAAAGGTTTTTAAATTTTTCGAATTGGAATCCTAACAACGAAAATATGATTTTTTTTTCAAGAGTACATTTAAGGGTTTTTGGTAGGCAATACACTCTTTTTAAGAACAAGAAGATAAAATGGTGAAAGATTGTTCCTTGAATAATTCTGAACAAGTGACAAGCAACAAACTTACATTATTTTCAGAGGGGACCAAGCAAAGACCACATTTTCAAAATGACATTTTGGTGAAAATTCCACACCTGTAATTTTTAACCAATCAAAACGTGTACTTTTGATAGATCACCATGGCAACGGTTGAATTTTAGTGGAAATTTTTTCCTCGTGGGTACCCAACAGCGAATTATACTGGAAATTTTTTGACGTTTATAATGACAGAATATTTGTTTGACAATCTGGTTTTTATTTGTTTACATGATAATTTTGATACATTTTCATTACAAAGTTTAGATGTTTTCTATATTCGTTGGACACCTCCTTTCTTCTTAATGGCGAAAATGCAGGACTTGAAATAAATTAAATGTCTATGTCTAATGAAATATATATAACATTTAGACACTATTCTATTCACCTTTTTTTCCATTTAGCACTTTGAGTTTTGAATAGTTCAGATGCAAATATTCGTGAACAATTCAAAACAAATTTTCTTTCTTCAAGTAGGAGCCACAATCCTCTAATAATGCGGGTAAATAAGTCATTGCACGATGATTGATCATTACAGCAGACAATTTCACATTTTTTACGTCGTGCCGCTTGACAGCTTCAAAACTGAAATAACTTTTAGGTTGGGGTTGACTTAGTTGCCATGGTAACTAAATAATCAAGTCAAGGTCAAGTTAAATCAAAAAATAAATTTTAATTATTTAAACACAATTTGGTGTGGAATTTTCTTACCGAATACCACACGAGGTCAAATTAAATCCGGAAATTTTTTCTCCCTCATGAATATTTTTAGAAAATTATCCCTCGTCTTCGACTCGGGATAATTTTCAAAATATTCATGAGCTCGAAAAAATTTCCGGAAATAATTTGACCTCTAGTGGTATTACTAGTGAAAATTTGCGAAAACTAAACCTGAATCGATATTTACGTTCGTGACATGTTTTATTTATAATTTTGACCTCTTGATTGTGATTCAGTTGTCAAATTTAAGTTTCAGATAAAACCAAAATCACCAAGAATCAAAATTCGAAAACAATTTTGGAAAAAAATCATATTTTCGTTGCTAAGATTCCAATTTGAAAAATTTGAAAAACGTTTCAAAATAAGACATAATACTTTATTATTTCAAAGTAAAAACGAGAAAAAAATATTAATTAAATATTATTAAATAAACGGGGCTTGGATGAAGTTATTGAAAATTTTCACCGTTTAACATAATATATATTAACACCCTGTGTATAATAATAATATAATAAAATAGTTAAAGAAACAAAAAAGTTATGTCGTTTTGAAAAAGAACGAACTTTTTGGTCGCGACACATTGAGGGTGCGCACTGCGCAGTTTATTTAAAAGTTAATACGACTAACTTTTTAGTACCAAATGCTGATACTAATTGAAATAGTAGAGAGATTACAATAAAATATTAACAAATTTAGAAATATTAAATTAGCACAATATGTTCACCAATTTAATTTGTTGCATGATCTAACCCCAACTTTCAATTCTTATTTCGATTATTTAGATATCGACTAGGCACATGAAATTGTATGCAAAGTATACTTTTTCAAAACAAAAAAAAAATTCTATATCAAAAAATATTTGGTTTATTTATAATTTAAAAATTTTAAAGTACCTACTCTCCTCCTTAAGCAATGTAACATTATGTATTTTGTTGTAAGTTCTACAGTATTATTATTTATTAACTAACAGAAAAGGAAAATTTGAATATCACCAAAACAGTATAAATTAAGAACGCGAGAAAAGTAATGCTTTCTCAATTTTTAGAACTTAAGACTTTCGAAAATAAAAAGCTTTATAAGGTCGAAAATAATATAGCGTAATTATAATAATAGAATATTATTATACTAGAGATAATGCAGGCTATTATTTACGAGGATGAGGTTTGCGTCTCGAGTCGTCAGACGAGGGACTTAAATCATCCAATACTCCAATAAGTAGATAATAAAATGATATTAAAAAATAATTAAATAAAATATCTGTCAAATGGTTAACCTCACTTTTTAACAATTTTAAGTGTTATAGTCGCCCTTTCCCAATTGAAATTGACCAATCACTAATGCCTTACAAGGTGAATAATTACTTCATTATTTCCGTTGTTAGGGAATTTATAATATTTATCATTAATGACGAAAAAAAACAATAATGTACAATAGGAGTTATATATTTGTTATTATGTTTTCCCCATTAAATAGGGCAACAGGATTCTAAATCCTAATCTGGTTTAAATAAATGCAATGAAATAAAGTGTCTCTTACCTTATTGATCCCAATTGCGTGTAAGTAGGTTAATTAGGAAGCGATTATACCAAACAAAGAAATAAACTAAGTAAATGAAAATTAACGAAAATGTACCTGCTTAATGGACATAATTATTTATTACGTGGAGACCGGATTGATAGACACTTGGAATTAAAAAAATACTTCATGTTTGAAATAGGTACTTTTTTCCTGACTTTTTCGAATTTTTAACGTTGTTTCTTTAATTTTATTTTTTTTATAATATTTATTAAGTAAATTTTTTTTAAAACTAGTAAAAATTTAGGCCCGAATTTTTATGTTACTTAAGAGAGAAAAGGATATATTTTTAAAATTAGGTTATTATTTTAGGTACCTATATTTTAGGTACTTATTTGAAAAATTAATATTGGTTGGCGTGTATTTTTAGTTTATAAAAAAGTCAAAAAAATTTAACAAAATCGGTTCACATAGTTATAAAATTAGGTTATTATTATAGTTGCCTAAATTTTGGGAATTTAAATAAAAAAATAAAATTTGCTAAATTATTTAATTAAATTTTTTTCAGTATAATGTCGATTAGGGTTGGTTGAAAAAAAAATGTTTGTTTTTTTTTTTAGCTTGGGGGTAGAATTTGTCCCTCATAAAAAAATAAAATTAAAAAAAAAAAAATTTTTACTCTACATCTTGAGGTTTTTTAAATAAATATTTAATCAAATGGGGTAGTTCCAACGGGAAATTCTTTTTTAGGTCCAAAATCGTGGAAAACATGTAAAAATTGCAGAATGTGATTTTTTTTCACTCAACTTTGATTCTAATACAAAAGAACGTGCATTTCATTTTTTAATTTTTTACTTAAATTACAAAAACAATGGGAAAAAAACTTTTTCAACTTTTGACTTCCAATTGGCTTTTGAGGGGACATTCTACAGATGCTAGAACGAAAAAAAGAATTTCCTGTTGGAACTATCCCATTTGATTAAATATTTATTTAAAAAACGAGTGGGCCACCTCACGATGTTGAGTAAAATAATTTTTTTTTGTTGAAAATTTTTTTTTATGAGGCTAAGAAAAAAAAACAAACATTTTTTTTCGATATTATTGTAAACACATACATAGGTCTTATGTAGTTTTAGATACATTATAATCGCTTTTTAAACGTTCGGCAATAAAGGATTTAATTTAAAAATGAAGTAGTAATTAAATTAATAATTATTTTTAACATTAACTTAACAACATTGTTTGGTTGGGAAAATATCAAATAAAATAAAAGATTCTTAAAAAAAGTAAATATATCAAATTACAAATAATCTAAAATAGCAAAAAAAAACATACTAAAAAAAGTGTATTCAAATCCAAGCTGGACTAAACAAAAACGCCCAGACGCATGATAACTCGTTCCTATTGGTCGATTCTGATGGTATGACTCGGATTGTGAGTTCTTATTGGTCGATTCGGAGGATTGTGTTTACGTTTAGTCCAGCTTGGATTTGAATAGACTTTAGGAACATAAACATAAAACATAATGGGATATTTATTTAACGATTGCATGATTCACAACGAGTCGTGAGACGATGCCAACTTTATAGTTTGCCGCGATACCAACCATTATTATTATTATTATTATTAAGGTATTATACATATTAACCGCATATTAAGAGCATAAAACGCAAAATTAGTACATTTAAGGTATAAAAAACAATTTAGGTGCAAAAAGTAAAATAGGTGAAAAAAAATAAAAAAGGTATTTTAGGTCAAATAAAACTTAGTCAGATGACAAAATTTTTTATAGAACGGACAAATACAAAAAATATGTTTAAAACCTAAAAAACCAACAAAAGGTGTTTTACCTAAAATCCGGGCCTTACGTATTTTGAAAAATTACATTGCGAAGGTTTAAAAGAATGTAATTGATTCATATTCTTAGATGAGTGTAAATTATTTAAATCTTAAAATAAGAAACAGTTTTGGGTTCTAGACATAATTCGGAAAATTCTGCATTATTATAGCTTTATACATTTCCCTGACATTCTCCGACTTTTCCCTGATAATAGTATAATATTGTTCAATGTTCGAGAAACTTGCATGGTCTAAAGTCATGTGTTTGTTTTGTTTCAGACTGGCCCCAGGTTTGCAACAAACCCAAATATCACCGCAAATGACAGGGACGCTTCAGTGCGGCAACGGGCCCTCGCAGCCGCCCCTTGTGATGCCGGTTTTTCCCCTGCGGCCTGCACCCGCCTCCACCACGTCCCACTATTCGCCGTACTCGCCGTCCAGGTTCCACATCGACAAGAGATGTCAGCACCGGTGCTCGTGGAAGTGTCTCAGCATCGGACTCATCCTATTGGCGGTGGCGCTCACCGCCATGTTGGCCTACTTCGCAGGTAGGAAATGTATGTGAATTGAATGATTTTGTATGTTTTGGGGGTTTTTGAACTTACTTGTTTTCTTTTTAGTTTTACATTTAACTAAAATTTACATTTAACTAAAATTTTCACCTGGCATATATAGTTACTTTTAAAAATATCAAAATCTTCAAGAAATAAAAACTTGCTTCATTGACTTCTAAAGTCTATTCAAATCCAAGCAGGACTAAATGTAAACACAATCCTCCGAATCGACCAATAAAAGCTCACAATCCGAGTCACACCATCAGAATCGACCAATAGAAACGAGTTATCACGCGTCTGGGCGTTTTTGTTTAGTGCAGCTTGGATTTGAATAGACTTTAGCATTCATTTATATTAAAAGATTAAAAACGGATTTAGATTCTACATAATATATTATACAGAGCAGTTATTTTAAGTTCATTGATTATAGACAAAATACTTCTTGGGTATATTTTTATAAGCATTATTTATATTTAAATTTATAATATACAGTGTGTCCACGGATAGAGTTCGGAAGAAGAAAAACTTTTTTATTTGTGGGTTTAGAAAAACGTCTGCTTGTGTTGAAACTACCATTTCGAATACCAAATTTACGATTACTATACATGGTTAGCCAGAAACAACATTTTTATTTTTTTGGATTTCGTTTAAAATAAATTTACATAAGAACTAACAACTATTGTTGCTTTCCTACTTAGAATATAATTTTATATCTGGCAAAATAACGATTTTGTTGTAAGAAATCAACTTTTTTCTAATTTGTATTTTTATTATTACATGTTAAGTATTTCTAATATATATTAAAATAAATAACATTCTATTCGAACGTGGTACCACCGAGTTCAGCGCATAGTTCAACTCGATATCTGAATTCCCGATAACAATTCCTAATTTGCTGTATTGGGATATTTGCAATGACTTCTCTTATTTTTTCTTTCAAGAGATCTTCGTTAATATGAAAATTGGTTTTATACACATGTTGCTTCAGATATCCCCACAAATGAAAGTCCATAATTGTGAGATCGGGACTCCTAAGTGGCCACTCATTTGGACCATACCTTCCAAACCATTTGTTCCCAAACTGATTATTTAGCTAATCACGAACAATCTTGGAATGAGCGGGACAGCCGTCTTGTTGGATCTTGCAAATGATCATCATAAAAAAATTGTCCAGAAGTGTGTTGATTTAAATTGTTTTCAATAAAATATGGTCCAATGATTCCATTGTAAGAAATAGCACACCACACGTTAACTTTGTGTGAATACTGTCTTCTAGAGCGGATACGAAAATTAGGATTTTCGCGGCTCCAATAGCGACAGTTTTGCGAACAGTTTGAGGTAAATGTTGCTTCGTCCGAGAAAATAATATTATTAACAAAACTTCTTTGTCTAAGGATATGTTCCCCTATCAACAAACAAAAATCCGAACGCTTCATGTCGTCATTTTCTTCCAGTAAATGATTAAATTTAGGTTTGTACGGACGAAATTTATTGAATTTTAATATTTTTCCTACTAGAGATTTACTCACATTACCAATTTGAGAAGATCTTTTTCTTAAAGACAGTTTGGGAAAATTTCTAACTGAATCCATTATCATTACAGTTACAGCATCATCTTCATCATACTTTTTTCTCCCTTTTTTTTTATTTAAAACACTACCAGTTCTCATGAATTTTATTACAATTTTTTTTTAAACCATTGTCCGGGAGAGGAACATCAGGCCATATCTCATGGAGTTCTCGAAGAAATGCAATATAGCTTTTCTCATGTCCTAAACCATAACTTCGCACAATATAAATTCTTTGTTCTAACGTTAGCATTTTCTAATTTCACTATTATGCAAATTTATGAGAAAATTATGACACAACTATCAAAATTATGACACAACTATCAACAATTTTAAAGTTGAAAAGTAACTAAAACATTTCATTTATTTAGAACAGGCTACTTGATATTTTATTATTTTAATAGTAGCTTTGAAATTAACCACTTTAAGAAAATTGTTTATTAGACTTTTTTGCACAATTGGTGTAATAAATCACGGTTTTGAAAATATTTTCATAAAATTTCGAAAAAAATCGAAATCAAAATCATTAAAAATGTTATTTTTGATGGTAATCGTAAATTTGGTATTCGAAATTGTAGTTTAAACCCACAAATAAAAGAGTTTTTCCTCTTCCAAACTCTATCCGTGGACACACTGTATATAACAAAATAAAACAACATGTAATTATAAAATCGCTGCTATTGATTCAATTAAATTAAAATTTGTGTTAAATTGCTTTTAAAGTAATTTATTTGTTAAATAAATTAATAAATTAAATAAAAAAAATTTCAAATGTATTATTTTATAAAAATTAATTTTAATATTTTTTAAGATATAAATTTTAATTTTGGTTTGACTTTTACCCTTTTGTATCAAAATTCTCTGAAAAAACATTAAATCGAATAATGACAGATATTCTGAAATCTTTAACTAAAATGCGTTAATTAAGTTAAGGGGTTTTATAAATAAAAAAAGGTTGTATACAGGATATTCGAAAACTGATTCGACAAAAAAACACTAAATTCTAGAAATGATTTTCTATCAATTTTACCTAAATCGTCCAAAAATGTCTTCATCAAAAATGCCTAATAGCCATATACCCTTGAAATTAACACTAAAATTGGCAAAAATATTTTGTATTGACCTTATATTCAAATTATTGATAGGCATTTTGCCTATAAACCGTATTACTTTTGTGTATTTTATTATTGGCTCATAGAAAGTGAACATATCTAAAGGATAGTGATTTGACAATCATTTGTATGAAAAAAAATAATCCTGACAACAAATAATAATGTAATAATGTTTTTGTAAAACCTTACAAGACTGATCAATTTATTGAAGGTGGGCTTTAATTTTGATTTCATATTAGCCCGCCATTCACCTAGTTAATAGTATACTTGCTTAAAGCCATGATAAATTCAGATATAAATTAGGATTTATATCTGAGTTTATCGTGGCCGAAATAAAAAAGTAAAAAGCTAACAATTTATTAATGTGTTCGAAAGAAAAATTAACTCTGAAATATATTTTGCACTTAACGAAACCCATAGCTGAAAATTAAAAAATATTTTCGCAAATGTATGTTGAACCAAATCTGCTTAAAACATGCAAAGCTAGATCACACATTGCGGGAAATTTCATAAAAGTTGTTAAAAACTGCTGTAAATATTGGTTTAAAAAAAAGTGTGGTTTTAAAAATGGACCTATAGGTAAAAAGGAAAATACTTTTTTGGTCTAATTCGAAACTGAAATCTTTTCTCGAAAGACTGCAACAACAATTGTGATTGGGATTTTAAGATATAAAGTGAAGTTTTTTCTGTTTTTCTTTCATATATGTATACAAGCATGGGAAAATGTTAGATATTATTATTGAATTTGCTTTTTTTTGAATCCATGGTTTAAATTAAATATAATTTGCAACAAAGAGTATGCAAGATAGCATAACATCTCTCTCGCCAGGCATTGTCTGCTTTTCCTCTTAAAATTCCAAGACCTCAAAGGAAAGAAAGCCATTGGTATGCCAAATACGGATTCATACGTATTAATTTATTTGGTACTCAAATAAAACCTTTAATTTTTTCCACTTAGCGCTCTGGCTCAAATATAGTTTATGCAGCGTACCACAGAATCAATTAAACTTTATATCTTTGGCACATGAAGCTTTCTGGTGGATAATGCAATGATAAGAAAACAATTGCCAATTTCCTGACATTGCGAGTGCAATTAATTTTTTTCACGACATCCACACCCTTTCTTGATTATTATAAATATGTCATTTCCATTACCTTTACTTTCTAACTGGCAGAGCCTTAAAAATCTTAAAAAACGTTAAAAGTTTTTCAAAAAATTTTATTAACACATCTCAAGAAGATGGCTAGCTGTGAGTCACTGCCTATAACATACTCCTCAAGTGAAGTATTTGCATTTCGTAATTGTTCCCGTGATTTGGCTGCTAACATCTCTTCCACCCGTCTTGTCACAGAGTTTCTCGTAAGTATAAAAGTATCTGCTTTAGTTTTCACATCTTTATCATTGCAAAAATCGACAAAGCCTTTTTAACAATTTCCCCATCTGAAAAATGCTTCTTTTTTCTTACTAAGAGTAAAGTTATCTCGTAAGATGTTTACACTATTGATTCGTTCAAGTTATTTAAATAAAAAAATATGCTTTCGAATGATTCTGCTGTTTTAAATTATTTTTTTCCACAATAACTTTATCGAAAGATTGATTTTCAATGTTTGTATATCGAGGCCAAAGTGGAGAATTTGAAACAATTTTTTTTAGCATATAAAAATTTTTGGGTGACGTTCATAATATCGAAATTCACTTTATCGAATTCAAAATATCGAACACTTTTTATCGAAAATCAAAATATCGAAAATACAAAATGTCGAAAATCAAAATATCGAAAATTAAAATGTCGAAAATGATAATATCGAAATTTTATTTAATCGAATTTTCAATTTATCGAAAATAAAATATCGACGTTCATAATATCGAAATTCACTTTATCGAATTCAAAATATCGAACACTTTTTATCGAAAATCAAAATATCGAAAATACAAAATGTCGAAAATTAAAATGTCGAAAATGATAATATCGAAATTTTATTTAATCGAATTTTAATGTGAAACTAAACCATATTTTCTTATTTTGAATTTGATATTTTGTTTAAATATTTCAATTAATCGACATATTATTTTAATCCGAAGTGTATATGTATAGAGGCGCCTCTGATATAGAAATGTACTCAAACTCAACAACACAACCCAACCGACCCCGCCCCATTGCCCCCCCCCCGCCCCATTGAGCAAAAAACCCAACTAAAATGGGCTAATTTATGTAATTAAAAAGTGTTTTATTTTTATCGTAACATGAATTTGCCCATTTTAGTTGGGTTTTTTGCTCAATGGGGCGGGGGGGGCCAATGGGGCGGGGTCGGTTGGGTTGTG